ACGCACACACACACACACACACACACACACACACACACACACACATTTAAAACAACATTCAATAGACATGCTTCCCTATGTCTGTCCCCAGGTTCTGTATGGTCTGGAGTTCCTTCAGCGTCACAACATTGTACACTTGAACCTCCAGCCGGCGTCCGTGGTCGTCTCCAAACGCGAGGGTTGTGAGATCAAGCTGACAGATTTCTCCATGTCCAGGACTCTGGCTGTACCAGAAGGGGAACAGGTACCCAGGAAGGGATACCCGAATTTCATCGGTATGTCGAAAATAATTGTGGTATTTTTTTTTTACCAACTGAACCACCTGAACCAGTCATTATAGGTTGGGTCTTGAACGTTTTCTGCTCTGAAAACTTTGGCAATACCGAGTACTTATATTATTCAGTAAATTCACTAGCGAACAACAAAATGCATGCAAAAAATATGAGAAAATGTTAATATTCTGCCATATTATATCCTACTTTGTGTTATTTTGGCAACATCGAAGCTGATGTTTGTGAATGAGGAATGTTTCAGTAAAATGATCGTATAAGAAAACGTCCATATCATGTAATCAAGTGAACAATAGTTTCACCTGCTCGGTTAATGAAGAAAGGAAAATGATTTCTAGGGGGAGGGGTGTCTTGACTCACTTACCATTCGTTCGTTATCTGTTTATGTGACTATTAAATTAGGTTAAGCCACAGGAATACTTTTAGCCATTTCAAACGACTTGGTTTTAAGACAATTCCCCCACCCCGAAGGCAAGTCAAGTATACCACTAAACGTTCATCTCAGCAGGGACAATCTAGAAAACTCAACAGTTTGCCCACACCCATACAAACCTAAGCACTACCTCTTCTTCTAATAGTCTAACATGCAGTACGTATTAAGGCAACAACTCTTCTCTAACCATCAACATAAACGCCTGTCTTTCACCAAGGGACAATTAAAAGACTTCATCCTAATTTTTCAAAATGGGATTTTACGGAAGGACGCACATTTCGTAGCTTCTGGATTAAAAGTTACAGTTGGACAAAGTTAACAACATCACTTGCAACCTATGCACAATGTCTAATTTATTTCCTTAGCCCCTGAGGTAGTGGTGAAGGACCGGGTCGGCTTCCCCGCTGATGTGTGGGGTGCAGGAGCTCTGGCCTTCTTGCTGTGAGTAAACGACACCACTCTGTGGGCCTTTCGTCTTTTAAACCATGTCCTCGTGTAAATAAATGTATGTGTATTTGTTTGTGAGCGTGTGTTCTTATGTTTGAGTGTGTGTGTGTGTATGTGTGTGTGTGTGTGTGTGTGGACTCCTATGTCTGCATAGAAGAGAGAGAGTGGCCGTTAAAGAGAAAGACAACACACCCCGGCCTGATAAAAAATAATGCCAACTATCACCACACCCAACAGAAGAAATATGTAACAAGAAACTGCACCTTTTGTTATTGATGCTTAAGTCACTGTGTGTCACTGTCATAATAGTTCCATCGACAGCACGTCAATCTTGCCCTTTTGAGCTGAAATATAATGGCTTCAACTAATCTACTTTCTTTGGGGAGGGGGGATGGGTTAATAAAAGCTAATGCAGTTGCTTTTATGGACGTATATGTTGAGAAGATGTATAAATAGCTCATACTCTATTTTGGTCTTTTCAAGTCAACAACAATTGCGGTGAAGTCGTACGATAACAATGACTATTCTCCTCTCCTTCTTGTCCTCCTATTCACCTCACAGGCTGAGCGGAGTCGCTCCCTTCCGGGGTGAGAAGGAAGAAGACACACTTGTGAACGTCGCTCTCAACCGCTACGATGCTGCTGATCTCTATGAAAACGTCACCACCGAAGCCTTGAAGTTCCTGTACAAGGTCATGAAGAGACTGCCCAGGTAAACACATTACAGCATCTCTTTTTGATGTAGCAGTTTTTTACGTTCGATCAGTACCAATATTTAGATGATTTAAGAAACGAGCTTCCACCCTACCTCTAAGTACCCACTTGGGAGGAGAGTTTGGTTTTTGTTGTTGTTGTTTTGGGGGGTTGGGGGTGGGGGTTGGGTAAGCGTTTTACGACGCTTGCAACTTGGGAGGAGAGTGATACAACTCGATAGAAATTACCCTCAGACGGGAATCAAAGTCAGGTCTTCCTAATGCAACGACAAAGTGCCTAACCCCTACTCCACAGACGCCGGTACCGCTTCTGGTATCTACGAGTGTGAGTAGATAGTTTGCAGTAGGGAACTGTATACGACACTCATATTCGACTTGATTGATTAGTCTATTATTAACATTTCCATCTTCAAAAACAACTGTTCTGTGTTTAAGTACAGAGAGAAAGTGCACTGTAAGACGATTCACTCTTAAAAAAGATGCGTTACAAGAAAGGAACATGCATTTTTGAGGACATCGCAACCTACACTGAAAAAAACAACATTTTGTTTCGTTTCTCAGATAAAACTTCACTCAAAAGTAGTTTTGCTCTATTCTTAGTACATTGTATAATATTAGATATGTTACTCCCTGAAAATAGTACCAAACATACTGCATGTCACCACCCTTTTTGGGATATTTTTAGAACCTTATTTAGTAGCGTGAACTGTTTTGAAGTATACAATCGTTGATTCAGTACGTCTTCAGGACTCGTCAAAAGAATCTGGTTTGTTTTATTGAAAGCTTGTTGAGGTGGCAATGCTCAAAACGCTGCATCAGTAACTGTATCAGTATGATTTTTTTTTTTAATGGAGCCACGGTATAAGCCAAGCACTTTTGTTTGTATAGCAGACTATATTCGTGAACAAGAAACAAATGGCATGTGTTTGCAAGTACTAGAGATACTGGGACTTCGAATTTTTAAATCCATACTTTTCCTTTAAAAGTTTTTGCCCGGTAAATCACTTTTCTGACTTGAAATAAGGGCAAAGAAGCTAGTAACATGCCTCAACTCAGTGCCAGCGAACACGTGTTGCCTGCAATTGTGTGTGTTTGTATGTGTGTGTGTGTG